ACAGGGGGCCAAATAAAGAAATGTGTTACTTGTTGATAGAATGCTTCCAATTCAATGGGCTCCTAAATCTTCATCTCTAATGCAGATATTTTCCTTATGAGCACCAAACTTGGATATCTGAGTCATTGCTGGCCATCTTTACGTTGACATCCACGCACAATGTCCTATGTCCCCAAATGAACATATTATCTTTCTCCCAAATCTGGCCCTACTCTTCTCTTCTGTATTTTAGTAAATGACAATACTGACTCTGGTTAACAACCTAGAAACCTAAGAGTAATTCTAGATTAGTCCTACTTTCTCAGCCACACAATCAACCAATCACCTCACGCTGTTTTTTCTACTTCCTTATCGCTCTCAAATCTGTCCACTCAGATCAACTTTCTCTGTTATAACCCTACATCTCTCATGGGAAATTGGAATAACCTACTAACTGGTCTGCTCAATCCACTCTTGCTCCCCTACAGACTTTTATCCAAAATTAGCCAGGCAGATTTTTTTTTTTTTCATTTGTAATTGTTTTTGAGACAGAGAGTCTCACCATGCTGCCCAGGCTATTTTTGAACTGGGCTCAAGCGATCCTCCTGCCTTGGCATCCCAAATAGCTGGGATTACAGGCATGTGCCACCATGCCCAACTCATCTGTAAGTTTTAATTAAAATTTATTTTCCATTTACATTCAGAAAAATTCACTCTTCTGGTGTCCAGCTTGATGAGTTTTAACAATGTGCAGAGTTATAAAGCCACTACCACAATTAAGACACAGAACAGTTCCATCACTACCCCAAAAAACTTCTCTCATGCTACCTCTTTGTAATCAAAACTCCTTCCCACACATATGATCCCTTGCAACCACTGATCTATTTTTCATCCCTACTGGTTTCCCATTTCTAGGATGTCATAGCAATGAAATAAGAGTGTGTAGCCTTTTCAGATGGGCTTCTTTCACTCAGGATGATACAGTTGTGATTCATCCATGATGTTGTGTGTATCAAGATTTTGTTCTTTTTGTTACTGAGAAGTATTCCATTGGATGGCTAGGTCAGAGTTTATCCGTTTCTAAATTAAGGGATGTTTGGGTTGTTTCCAGTTTTTATTGGACAATTATGAATAAAGCTATATAAACATTGACTACAAATTTTTGTATGAACATGTGCTTTCATTCACTTGGGTAAATACCTAGGAATAGGACTGCTGGGTCACATGAGAAGTGTATATTTAACTTTATTAAAAATACTGCCAAAATATCTTACAAAATGACAGTACCATTTTGCGTTCCCAGCAGCACTGGATGAGGGTTCCAGTAGCTCCACAGCCTCACCAGCACTTGGTTTGTCAGTTCTTTCCTCTTTTCTTTATTTTTTAATGTTCTAATAGATATGCAGTAGTGTCTCATTATGGTTTCAAAGTGCATTTCCGAAACAACTAATGATGCTAGGTATTTTTTCATGTGCTTATTTGTCTTAGGTATATATGTTCTGTGTATCCTCTTTGGTCCATCATGTATCTTCTTTGGTGAAATATCTGTTCAAATATTTTATCCATTTTCTTAATTGAATTGTTTGATCTTATTGTTGAGTTTTGAGAGTTTCTCATGTATTCTAAATACAGTTCCTTTTCCAAATATCTGACTACAAATAATTTCTCCCAGTCTATAGCTTATACTTTTATTCTTTTAATAGTATTTTTTGCAAAGGAAATGTTTTTAATTTGTATAAAGCCAATATATATTTTTCTTTTATGCATCATGCTTTTGGCATATCTAAAACCTTTCTGCCTAACCAAAGACCACATGGATTTTTCCCCTATGTTTTAATTTAGAATTTTATGATTTTATGCTTTTCACTTATGTCTGTGATCCATTTTGAGCTAATTTGTGATGAGATTTGAGGTATAAGTCAAAGTTCTTTTTTTGCATATGGATGTCTGATTGTTTAAGTACTATTTGTTGAAAAGACTATTCTTTCTCCATTGAATTGCCATTGAAGTTTTGTCAAAAATCAATTATTCATATGTGTGTGGATCTATTTATAGGTTCCCTATTTTTTTTTCTGTTGATCTATGGGTCAGTTCCTCCATCAACATCACACTGGTTTGTTTACTTTAGCTTTATATAAGTCTTACAAGCAGGTAGTATGACTTTTCCAACTTTGTTCTTCTTTTCCAAAATTTCTTATGTCTTTCTATATGAATTATAAAATCAATGTATTGATAACTACAAAAAAAATACCGCTGTGATTTTGATGGGACTGTATCCATAGATCAGTTTGCAGATAATTGACATTTTAATGATAGTGAGTCTTCCAATTCATAACTATCGAATGTATTTACATTTTTTAGGTCTTTAAGTACTAGAAATAGTCAAACCCGTAGAAGCAGAGAATAGAATGATGGTTGCCAGGGGCCGAAGGAGGAGGAAAAGTGGTATTGTTGCTCAATAGGTATGAAGTTTCAATTATGCAGATGAATAAGTTCTAGAGATTTGTTGCACAACATAGTGCCTTTTGTGCACTTTACAGTTTTTAAGAGGATAGCTCTCATGTGAGACAATTTTACCACATTAATTGAAAAGACACATGGAACACAAGGAAACTTTTGGAGGTGATAAATATGTTTATTACCTTGATTATGGTTATGGTTTCATGGGTTTATACATGTGTTCAAACTCGTCAAATTGTATACATTAAACGTGCAGTTTTTGTATGTCAATTGTACTTTAGTAAAGCTAATAAAAATGTAAGTTTTCAAATATTAATTGCTGATATATAGAAATACAATTAATTTCTATATAAAGACCTTTTACACTGTGACCTTGCACTGTGACTCTCAAATTGAGTACGTGTAAGATTTCATTGGATATATTTTAGATTTCATTGGAATTTTTTACTTCAATAGTGATGCTGTCTCCTAATACCGTTTTAGTTCTTCTTTTCCAATGTATGTGCATTTTCTTTCTTTTCCCTTATTGCACTTGCTATGATTTCAAGTATGATATTGAATAGGAATGGCGAAAGCAGACATCTTTACCTTATTCTCATTCTAGAGGAAAAGCATTCAGTCTTTCACCATTAGGTATGATACTAACTTTAGGATTTTTATAGATGCTCTTTATCAGGATGTAGGAATTACTTTTTATTCCTGGTTTGCGAAGATTTTTTTAAATCATAAATGGGTATTGGATTTTGTCAAATACTTTTTCTGCATCGACTGATATGACTGTGTGATTTTTTTTCTTTAGTATGTTATATTGGCTGACTTTTGAATGTTGAAGCAGCCTTGTATTTCCAGGATAAACCTCACTTGGTCATGATGCATTATCCTTTTAATATATCATTGAATTTAATTTGCCAGTATTTTGGTGAGAACTTTTACATTTATGTTCATGAGGAATACTGGTCTGTAGTTTTCCTTTATTGTAATGACTGTCTAGTTTTGGTAATTAGGTTAGTACTGACGATAAAATGAGTTTGGAAGAATTTCCACCTCTTCTATTTTCTGAAGAATTTGTGTGATGGAGTGAGTATTATTTCTCCTTTGAATGTTTGGGAGAATTTAGCAATGAGACCATCTGAACTTGAAGTTTTATTTTGTGGAAGGATTTAAACTGTGAATTCAATTTCTTTAATATAAATATGACTTTTTAGGTTGCCTGTTTCTTCTTAAGTGATTTCTCTAAGTTTGTATCTTTCAGAGAATTTGTTTGTTTTATCTAAACTGCTATATTTATGACCATCGAGTTGTCCATGTTATTCCCTAATCATCCCTTTAATGTCTATAGCATCTATAGTGATAGCCTCCCTTTCATTCAAGATATCAGTAATTTGTGTCTTCTCTCCATTGGTCTGGCCAGAGGTTTGTCAATTTTATTGATTTTTATAAAGAAATGGCTTTTTGGCCAGATGTGGTGATGCATGCCTGCAATCCCAGCATTTTGGAAACTGAGGTGAGAGGATGGCTTAAGGCCAGGAGTTTGGGGACAGCCTGGGTAACATATGCCATCTGTACAGAATTTTTTTAAAAAAATTAGCTGGGCATGGTGGCATGCACTTGTAGTCCTTGCTACTCAGGAGGCTGAGGAAGGAGGATTGCTTGAGCCCAGGAGTTCAAGGCTGCAGTGAATCATGATCAAACCACTGTACTCCAGCCTGGGTGACAGAGTGAGAACCTGTCACTAAAAAAGAAAGAAAGAGTTTTTTGTTGCAGTGATTTTTTTCCCTAATAATTTTGTTTTCAATTTCACTGATTTCTGCTCTTTAGTATTTCTTTACTTTGGCATTCCGTTTGCTTTGGATTTACATTTTATAGTTGTAGGTTCACAAGATAGAAATTTATATCACTGATTTCAGGTTTCCCTTTTTTTCCAGCGTAAGCATTACATATTATTAAATTGTCCCCAAAGCACCAGGGGCAAGCTACTTCTGTTGCCCTGCCCTGAGTAGCCAACTATTCTTTCACAAATTTTCTTGACAATGAAGTGGGCTAATCAGTGTTGGGTCTGTAGCCTCCAAACACCATTATTTCAGTCCTTGGGGTGGGGGGGTGTTGTCATCAGCTTTTAGTAGAATGAGATTTTTGGACCCTTTGAAGGTCCTTTAGTTGTTTACAGCATAGGCAGGATGCAAGAAACGTCACTATGAGGTAGGTGGCTCAGAGGTGATATATCTGTCTCGCTTTTTAGAGAGTTGATACTATTATCCCACATATATCACACCATCTAGGTTCTGGCAATCTATATGCTGATATTGCTGACCTACCCCTGCCCCCCCACAAATAAATGCGAAACCAGCAGGCCTTTTATTTTCTTACTAGTGAGACAGTGATAAGGAAGAAATTTGTTTTCAGTGCTCAGTGCTAACCTAGTCCTTATCCCTCAGTGTCTGGTTAACTGTGGACCTGTCCTTCTGGCCCCAACCCCGCAACCCCACCTCTCTCCCTTCCCACACACCTCCTCTTCCCTCCTTCCTCCCTCCCCACCATCCTAGAACATGAAGACACTCACATCATTTTACAACAGATTCATTTTATTTTCATCACCATGGGGCGTACCCTGTGGGGTGTAGAATGTATTCTAGACCCTGCTGGCTATTTCTCTGGGGTCAGATCTCTGGAGACCTCTCAGATAGATCTAGGCCTCTGAACTTGCCTTGAAATCACTGGCTGTCCAGGGAGACGCTGGAGATTGTGGAGGTCTCCTGGCTAATTTGGTCCTGCTGTGGCTCATTTTGAGTGAGTTTCCCATTCAGCTGGTCATAGTGGCTGGATAGTGTTGGCCCGTTGCCTTCCTCAGGTTTTCTTGAAGCGGTAGGCTTTTTGGGAGTGGCTTTTTCCTGGAACTTTCTCGAAGGGTCCCTTTTCCCTTCCAAGTTGCCTTTGGAACCTGGAAGGACAACAGGGAGATCACAAAAGGGCACTGGTTTTGGGAAAGAGGATGGAAGAGGGGTGGGAATGGGGGTTTCATAGATAAAGGGTGCAGGCTGGGGTGGGGATTGTGCCAGGTGAGGACAGCGTAAGGCGTCTTGGGCGGGAGGAATCAAGGGGTAGATGAGGAGGAGCCTGGGTTGGTCACTCACCTTCAGAGGGCTTCTGGACCTTGGTTGAGAGGGGGCCCTTCCTGTTCCACACCTCTTTTTTTTTTTTTGGCCTTCTGAAGAAATGTAACTTACCTTAAGGGAAAACACTCATAGAATTATTTTTCATGAATAGTTCTAACAAGCTTCCAGCTTCTTGGAGGAGACACTTTGTGATCAATTTCAGTCCCTCCCTAGGTAGAGGGCGTCTCATTCAGGTTTTTGTCCCTGGAAGAAAGAAATGATAGAGTTAGCCACAGGCCAGAGTCGCTGTATTAATATCATACAAAGTAGATTTCAGAGGAAAAAAATCATCAAAAACAAATAAGTCATTTCATAATAAAGTTGTCAATCAAGAGAACAAAATACTCTAAACTTTTATGCCCGCAAAAAGATCAAAATATATGAAATAAACAATGATAGGACTACATGAAGAAGTAGACAAGTCCATAATCATAGTCAGAGATTTCAATACCCTTCTCTCAATAAGTGAAAAAACAAGTAGACAGAAAATTAGTAAAGACATAGAAAATTTGAACTGCACTAGCCATTAAATTGACCTAATTTACATTTACAGAATAATCCCAATAACATCAGAATTTGTACTATTTTCAAATGCGTATGAGATATTTATCAAGGTACATAATATTGTGGGTCATAAGTAAAATCTCAATAAATTTAAAATCTAAGTCATGCAAAGTTTGTTCTCTGACCACAATAAAATTGAATTTGAAATCAATAAGGGAAACATATCTGGAAAAAAAACAAATATTTGGAGAACTAAGTAATATACTCCTAAGTAACTTATGGGGCAAAGAAGAAATCAAAGGAAAATGATCATATATTTTAACCAGAATGAAAATGAGAATAAAACATAACAATTATGTGATGATACCAAAGTAGCACTTATAAGGAAATTTATATTACTAAATGCTTATATTTGAAAAGAAATATCTCAAATCAACAGCCTTAGCTTTTCCTTTAAGAACCTAGGAAAAGAAGAGCCCATGAAACCCAAAGAAAGTACAAAAAGGGAAATAAAGATCACAGCAACATCAATGAAATAGAAAAACAGTAGAGACAATCAATGAAAACAAAAGGGGATGCTTTGGGAAGAACAATTAAATTGATAAACTTCTAACAAGAGAGATGAGAAAAAAAGATAAAAGATACAAATTAACCAATAGCAGAAATCAGAATGGTGGTATCACTACAGATTCTAAAGATAATGAAATTATAAGAAAATAATAGGAACAATGTGCAGCAATAAATTTGACAACTTAGAGGAAATAGACAATCTCCTGAAAGACACAAAGTACCAAAGCTCACTCAAGAAGAAATATATAACCCAAATAACCCTATTACCATTAATGAAATTGAACTTGCAGTTTTAAGTATTCTCAGGAAGAAAATTTCAAGGCCAGATGGCTTCACTCCTCAATTCTACCAAAGTTTAAGGAAAAATTGACAGCAATCCTTCAGAAACTCTTCCAAAAATAAATAAATAAATAAGGAAGGAAGGAAAGAAGGAAGGAAGGAACACTTTCCAAAGTTATTCTTTGAGGGTAATATTACCCTGAAACCAAAACCAAAGACATCACAGGAGAGAAAAACTGCAGACCAAGAGCCCTTATGAATAAAGGCTCAGATATTCTCAACAAAATACTAGCAAACTGAATCCAGCAAACTGTAAAAAGTATTATACCCCGTGATCAAGTGCAGTTTATCTCAGAAGTGCAATATTTGTTTAATATCCAAAAATCAATTAATGTAATACCCTCATATTCATTGATTAAAGGGAAATATATATAATCATCTAAATGACAAAATGCAAATCTTTTCATGATGCACTCAAATCAGGAATAAAAGGAAAGTGTTCCTCAACCTGATGATGGCAATGTACAAAACACTACAGCTAACATCATACTTAAAGGGGAAAGACAAAGCTTTCTCCTTAAGATCGGGAATAAGACAAGAATGTCTGCTTTCACCACTTCTATTCAACAGGATTATTAGGAAAGAAACAAATGAAAGGCATCCAAATTGGAAAAAAATATAAGTAAAATTGCCTTTATTTGCAGATGACACACTACTAAAACTAGTAAATTTAGTAATGTTGCAGAATACCAAATCAATATACAAAAATCAATTTTATTTCTATTGGTATCAATGACCAATCAAGTGGTGAAATTAAAAATTCACAATAGCATCTAAAATGATATACCTAGACAAAAGTTTAATAATATAGTGAAGGATCTGTGCACTGAAAAGTATAAAATGTTGCTGACATAAAGAAGGTTTAAATAAATGGAGATACAGCCCTCATTCACAGGTCAGAAGACTCAATACTGTTAAGATGCCAAGTCTTCTCAAATTGGTCTACAGATTCAACACCATCCCAATCATTATCCCATCAGTGTTTTTGTAAAAATTGGCAATATGATCCTAAAATTCAAATGAAAATACAAAAGACCAGAGCAACTTTAGAAAAACATTAATTTACAGGATGAACAGGGCCTCATTTGAGGTTATTATAAAGCTACAACAGTCAAAGCAATGCAGTACCAGCGTAAGGGTCAGTGGAACAGAATGGAGAGTCCAGAAATACACTGATACATACTGTGATGGTTAATTGTATGTGTCAACTTGACTGTGCTAAGGAATGTCCAGATAGCTGGTAAAACACTATTTCTGCATGTGTCTGTGAGGATATTTCCAGGGGAGATTAGCATTTGAATCAGTAGACTGAGTAAAGAAGATCTGCCCTCACCAGTGTGGGTGGGCATCATCCAATCTTTTGAGGGCCTGACTAGAACAAAAGATAGAGAAAAGGAGAATTTGCTCTTTCTGCTTGAGTTGGGCCATTCATCTTCTCTTGCCCTTGAATGTTAGTACTCTTGGTTCTTGGACCTTCATTTTGTACTGAGACTTACACCATTGACCCTCCATCCTCGGTTCTCAGGCCTTTGGACTCAGACTGAGACTTACCTCATTGACTCCCCTGATTCTCACGCCTTTGGGCTTGAGCTAGAATTGCACCACTGGCCCCCCTGAGCCTCCAGCTTGCAGATGGCAGAGCATGGGACTGTTCAGCCTACATGATTGTGTGAGCCAATCTGTCATAATAAATATCTTTATATCTATATCCTACTGGTTCTGCTTCTATGGGGAACCCTGACTGATACACATATATAGACAAATGAATTTTTTTAAAAGTGCAAAGAAAATTCAGTGGAGCAAGAGGTACTAGAAATGGTACTAGAAAACTCAGATATAGATATGCAAAAAATCCCCCAAACCTCTGATTACCCATACCTCACATTATATACAAATATTAAATAGATCACAGACCTAAATGTAAAACCTAAAAATATAAAACTTCTAGAAGAAACTAAAGGAGAAAACCACCGGGACTTCAGTTTAGACAAAGATTTGTTAGATGTGACGCCAAAGCCCAATTCATAATAGATCAAATTGGTAAACTGGGCTTCATCTAAGTTAGAAACATTTACTCTTTGAAAGACACTGTTAAAGGAAGTAAAGGACAAGCAGCAGATGGGAAGAAAACCATATATATGAAGAAAACCATATAAATGGTAGAGAAATTGTATCTAAACATATGAAGAGCCCTGAAAACTCAGCAACAAAAACCAAACAGCCCAGTTTTTAAAAACTTGGGCAAAAGATTTGAACAGACACTTCACCGAGGAAGATATATCAATGGTTAATAAGCACATGAAGAGATGCCCAAGATCACTGGGGAAATGTAAACTAAAACCAAAATGACATAAACTACACCATCATTAGAATGGCTAAAATAAAAGACTGATCGTATCATATGCCTACACAGATGTAGAGGAAATGAAGCTGTCATACACAATTGGTGGGCCTGTAAAATGGCACAGGCACATTGGAAAAATTTGGTAGTTTCTTAAAGTTAAAAACATACATCTATGATATGATTTACCTATTCCACTCCTATGTATTTATCAAAAAGAAATGAAAGCACATGTTCACACAAGGGCTTGTATACAAATGTTCGTAACAGCTTTATGTGTAATAGTCCAAAACTAAAAAATTTACAGATGTCCATTAACAGATGAATGGATAAATAAATTGTGGTATGGTCATACAAACAACATACAATACTACTCCACAATAAAAAAGCAACAAAAAGGAACACATTATTGATATGTTCCACATGAATGAATCTCAAAATAATTATGCTGAGTGAAAGAAACCAGACCAAAAATTGTACACACTGTATGATTTTATTTACATAATAGTCTAGAAAATGCAAACTAATGGATAGCGACAGAAAGCAGGTAGTGGTTACCTGGGAACTGGGGGTGGGAAGGAGAAGAGTGAAGGATGACCAGGAGGCACAAGGAAAATTTGAGGAGAAGGATATGTTCACTATCTTTATTGTGATGATGGTTTCCTGGATGTATAAATGTGTCAAAAATTATCAAACTGTACACTTTAAATATGTGCAGTTTACTGTATGTCAATTATACCTCAACAAAGCTATTAATAATAATAATGAATATAATAATAAATTATAATATTCTGTCAGACCAGACCCTTCCTTCTAAGTTTAGCCCTAACCAAGGTCCACCGGGGTAAATGGGCTACTGGTCAGGCTGATAACGACCAGAGGAAAACTATTCCCTTTATTGAGTGCTTACTTTGTCCCTGGCTTAGTGCTGGGTGCTTTCATAGGCATTATCTCATTTAAGGTTCATAGCAAATGTATGTGGAAAGAAAAAGGGTCAGTGACTTACCTAAGGTCGAATAGCTTTTAAAAAGTGAAGAGCTCTTTACCATGCTGCAAAAGCCCTTCACTTCTAGTCAATGCCAACAATGCAGTCAGTGTGAAAAGCAAAGCCGGCCAGGCACAGTGGCTCACACCTGTAATCCCAGCACTTTGGGAGGCCGAGGCGGGTGGATCACCTGAGGTCAGGAGTTTGAGACCAGCCTTGCCAACATGGCGAAACCCCGTGTCTACTAAAAATACAAAAATTAGCCAGGTGTGGTGGCAGGCATCTGTAATCCCAGCTACTCAGGAGGCTGAGGCAGGAGAATTGCTTGAACCCGGGAGGCGGAGGTTGCAGTGAGCCAAGATCAGGCCATTGCACTCCAGCCTGGGTGACAAGGGCGAAACTCTGTCTTAAAAAAAAAAAAAAAAAAAAAAACAACCACAGCCTTCTCATATGCCAATGACTTGCTTGGCAGGGCCTAGAGCAGAAAATTTAATTAAGGGCCTGGTTTTGGACATGATTTTAAATATTGTTCACTTCATACCAACACTGGAA